ATTGAATTATTTTAGGATGTATTTTAGGTAAACCAAGTAACAGTTAATTCAATGAGGTGTAAAACAAACTATTTGTTCCTGCTTTGACTTCCAAATAATGCGAGGCTGTCTATTAATTCTTTCAAAAATAATTAATGCGTTACCAAGAGAAATTTATTTTATATCATCAGGAGAATTCTCAATAACTTGCAGAAATTTTAGACCCATAGAATCAGGGACTTGGGAATATTAGGGAAAATTATAACTGATATTATAGTGACATTTTCTTACAATCCTACAAAAAATTGGCAAGCTACTGAACTTCTCTGTTCATTTCCCTATGTTTCTACCATATCCATCCATTCACAATATTTAGAACTTTCCATGTGCCAGGCACTCAGAAATCCAGTGAAGTAGGTAGTTATCGCCATTTTGTATTTAAAATTCTCTAAATTCAAATTTGCTTGTCAGAAATGGAAAGTAGCACTATCTAAACTTTGAATTTTAACATTATCTGGTAAACAAGGTCTTTCATGGATATTACCCAGCAGTACTGAACACAAAAGGTGCTATGGGATTGTATTATGGGATGGATAAGGCAGCAAGAGTATTGGGGTTAAGCATGGCCTGGATTGGAATCATGACTGTGCTATTTATTAGCTGTATAATCCTGAGGAGATTACCTAATACATCTGTGCCTGAATTTCCCTATCTGAAAATGGGAATAGTACCTACTCATAAATTTGTTAGAACAAAAGTAAATTAGTATTATTATTTAAAAGTCTTGACACATAGTAAATACTCTATTATCTATTACTGAATCAAAAATTTGATAGCTTAAAGCAACAGAAACGTATTATCTCAGTTTCCATGAATCAGGAATGCAGAGGCTACTTAGCTGGGTAATTGTGGTTTAAGGTCTCTCACGAAATTATGAATTTCAACTGTGGCTGCATCATCTGAAGGGTTGACTAGGAAGGGAGGGTTCGATTTCCAGAAGGCTCTAAGAGCTGAAAGGTGGTGCTATCAGGTGGGGTCCTGTTCACTTACACCACTCATCTTCCAGGGCGTCTTTTCATCTGTATTCACCAGAATTGCCTGGTCTTCTTTCAGTAAAGAGCATGTGCCCCTGACAGAAACCAGCCTTGTTACAATCCAATTTCAGAAGTGATATCCCAAGGCCAGCCGAGTGACTAGGTTAAGAGCTTGCTCAAGAGTTTGAGCTCTGATCAACAGCGGTTTTATTTCCGATCCAAACTGAGCTGCCGCTGAGCTGCCAACAGGTGGCAGGATGGCTCAGCTAAAAAAAAAAAAGTGACATCCCAAGCACTTCTGCCCTATTCTGTTCATTAGCAGTGACTCATCAAATCTTGCCCAAATTCAAGAGAAGAGGATGATACAAAGAAGTGAGTAAGAGGTCAGGGTCATTTGCAGCTATAGTAGAGGCTGCCTACCTCTTGGGGCACTGTATATATTTGTTAAATGAAATAAATATGGAAATGTCACTGTATTTCCTCATATATTTGAGTTCCTCAGCAACAGTAGTAAAATAACTGAAGGAATCACAGGAATTAACATTGGAGAGAATCAAGTCTATCTTTAAGGGCTCATCTGAAGACTACATTAATCAAATGAATTCCTCTAAAAAATATTGAGTTTCTTATCCAAAAACAATACAAACTTTATTAGAAAATTATAAAGTATTAACCACCAACCAAAGGATTACAGTAGTCTATTATGCAGGATTATTATCTAGATCCATTTAGATCTTGGCTCCATTATAGTCAGAAGCCATGATTAGTATTCAGAATTCTAGATACAGTGTTTATGATACAGGGACTATCCCTTCTAAATTAAGGAAATAAGTAGAAAAGTAAGCAATTCCAGAGACATTCAGGATGCAGGGAACGAGGCAATCGCTGTAGGTCACATGCCATGAGAATCAGAACAGCTCTAACCCCACTTCCATTCTTATTTATATACATCAAAAATGTATTGAGGCCTAGCTAGTCCTGAATGGAAAATAAAGTACACAGTTTAAAACAAACTGCAAAGTTGTATTTATTTACACTAAAATGTGAATTACCTGTATACACAGAAATTTAAGAGGCACAATCTGTTATGCACAAGAACCATAATCTTCAGTACATTATACACAGTAGTATCTATAGGTGCGTCAGTGGTTTGAGTGAAAACACAGTACCAAAACATTCCTAATACAAAATAAATTACTCATTCACATATTCTAATCACACAAGACAGTTCATATTTTCAAAGTTATGTACTTCAAAAAACACTAGCTAGATGTACAACCAAAATGTAGTAGGTTTGCTTTATGAAAAATGTCTTCAGATTATTATGCATAAATGATCCCTTTTAGGATACATTTTTATCTTTTAAATAAATAAACTATATTGATGTCAAGTCTATTTATATATAACCTCCTAAAATATGATTGAAAACAGACATTACTTCATTTTTTAAAGATGTAACTATACTAGAGAATATGCTAAACTACTGCCAAATTCCAACACTGCCATATTTTTCAGACACAATCAAATTATTTAAATTCCAGAGTATCAGATTAGCTGCCCTATTTTGCAAATTGTTCCCTCTAAAAAGTGTTAACAGATTGTCCTAAACTATCTCAGATACTGAAGAAATTCAAACTATTTTTAAAAAAACTTAAAATGCTTTAGGTTGACGCTGATACTGCATGTGGAGATTTTGATAAATTGAACACTTTTATCTTAAAGACCTTTATAGGAAGATCTTTTCCCATTCTAAGATCTATTAAAGATAAGTACAAAGTCCAAGAGAACACTTCAATATTTTCATAACGCAGCGAAGGATTCCTCTTTGGCATTTCTCCATTAGTTCTAAAAGGAAATGTCAACAAACATTTTATATTTTTCTATCTACCTACTACAGACATTTTCTGTACATAAAAGTATTTGAAATTATGTTTTAACAGCAGTTTCACTGCTAAGAAATTTTCTTCTTTAGATCTACAAAAAATATTAACATTCAGCTTTTTCCTAAGGATTAGCTGAAATGTTTTGATATTGTTGAAATGAGTTTGCTTTAGTTTTTTCAGTCATTGAAAATTCAACAATGGATAAAACAGATATAATTTAACAAAAATGTTGATCAGAGTATAATTTTTGAATATTGATATGAAACATGCCTCTCTTAAGGAAAAAAATAAATCTTCATATAATATGGGCATCACAGAAAGAGAGCTGCTATATTTTTTCTCTTGGTCCCCGTAGCTTTTCTAAAAGGAAAGAGACCAAAACAAAACTGCTACAAATGCTGATTGGTGGAAAATTTTCTACACTGCCATTCATATTAGATTTCCACATTGTTTCCAGTATCCATGAATTTTTTGCTCCCATCACACACTAACCGTAAGGCTAAAAGTAATCCAAGTGTGACTATTTTAAAATGACAATGGGAAATCATAGCAAGGTTTTTACAAATGAACACATTTTCCTCATTCAAAAATAAAAATGGGGAAAAAAATCTCAGTAAAACTAAATCAAATACAAGCTTCATTCTCCAGGGCTTACTGAAAACAAACAAAAACAAAAACGTAAAACAAATACTGTAGCTAATTACTGCTGTTTACCACTGTCTACAAAGGTCTTGGATAACAAAAAAAAATAAAAAGTGATGGTAATGATGGCTTTATTGTGACATTAACACATTTAATGCAATTAAATATTCCCCATTGTTTTCTAACCAGGCAGAATTATGGAAATCCAAGCAGAGAATGATGCACTGCAAGACGGAGGAACTAGAACATAAATGGGTATTTCTGCTATCTGGTATTGAAACATTTGAATAAATCTATAGCTGTTTTAGAAAGAAAAACTGATCCAATAAACATCTTTTAAAAATCTAGAGAACGGGCCGGTTACATGAATAGGACACATAATGGGATACTAAATTTGTGGAAGTAATTTTGTTATACAACATGGCAGTTATTAAATATTACATGTGCAGCTTGCATTACTAATACTGCTATCTCCCAGCCAATGTAAATATCTGACACTAACACTGTCCTTCAAGTATAGTTCAAATTAATAGTTACATGTTATAACCAAGTAAATAAATTACCAGCTCCTGCTAATACAATTTAGTAAGAACTGGGAGTCCTAGAATTGGTACTAGGTAATGCTTACAGAATATAATTTTAAGTGCATATGGTTATCTACTTCCAGAATCCGGAAAATAAAGCCACCCATGCTCCTATAAGGGAGTTGTACCTCAATTCTATCATTTTAAAAGTATGTTGCAATGGGATCTCTCCAAAATCAAACAGGATCAATCTGGTCACATTCAATCCTAAAACAAAATGTCATGTAAAATTTTTGTGTATCTAAATGTTGCTTTTTAGATAAATTTGTGAGATATTTTAGAGACTTTCTTTGGAGGAGGTGGTCTGATAAAAAGGAATAGATCATCAGACAAGATCACAAATAATCATCATTCCTCCATAATTCAGTTGAAGTTGGTCTTTTGTAAATGCTTATTGGGAATTTCTAAAGCACTGACTTGAAGAGGCCAAGAGCCTCCATCAATCCCTGCTTGGATGGCCACTCCTGTCACCACTGCCAGGTCAGGGTCTACTGACGTGTTGGGATCCTTTCCAAAGAACTCCTGGATGACTTGGCGGATCCGAGGGATACGAGTAGAGCCCCCAACCAAAACCACCTCATCAATCTCCGTCTTTTCCAGATGGCCTTCTTTTAATACTTGCTGAATGGGCACCAGTATTTTCTGGAAGAGATCTTCATTAAGGGTGTCAAAGAGCTTCCGTGATATTTCCGTTTCAAATAAAACCTGACTTTCTCTACTCTTCTTTTCAGAAAGGCCAGCTCCAAACATGCTGTCCATGTGGGGGCCATCTACTGGGGACAGTCTGTCCTTTGGCAGTTCAGTGACACCATTCTGAGGTTCGGTCCTGTCCTCTTCCTCCACCGTCAGCAATACTGACATCTGAGCAGACTGATGAAGAGTTAGGTTTAATTTGACCATTTCCACAGCTTGTCTTAATCTGTGGATTTCTTCTTTCCTGGAGGGTCGGAAGCCATATGTCTGATATATCTGTTTATATACGTACTGAAGCAACCTCTGATTGAAGTCCTGTCCTCCAAGTTTATTGTTTCCTAAGTTAAAAATAAGAGTTTACATTATAGTTATGCACATGTGTGTGTATACATGTGTCTGTGTTGTCTGTATGTATAACAATGATGTTCTTGGAATAACAAATTCCTTATTTAATGTATTATAAGATTTTACTCATGCAAAGAGTGATCAAAATTAACTGGGCCAAAGCGATTTTAACTCAAACGTGTACTATTAAAAAACAGTGCACATCTGGGTTAAATTTTTTAAATGATGTAAAAGGAAGTATCTCTTCATGATATCAAATATTTTTTCAGAAAACAGATTGAGAATGCAGATTGGCTTTTAAGTAGCAATTTACAAACACTAACTGTCATTATTCAACAGAAGAAAGTCCCTCAGATAATTAAAAAGTACCAGTAGGCATTTTATCTTTAAAAAAAAAAAAAATCTTTGCTTGCATGATAAAGAGCTGAAAAGTAGGAAAAAATGATTTAAAAGGAAAAGAGTAATGTAATATAAATCCCCAGCCCTGAACTTGGTTGTAAAGACAGTGCAGTCAGGAGGGAGACACATGCAGAAGGTAGACCACCAATAACTTACAGCTTCACTTTTCAAACAGGCTTATTAATACCTTAAACTAAATTAAAACTAATTTTTTAAAAAAGATTTGGAATGTAAAATCCTATCACTTCCTAGAGAATACTATTACAAATTTTTTAAAAATATGTTTTGTGAAACAGATTATCAATGAAATAAAATGATCACCCTTCACTTTAAAAGAATTTCCTTCCTTCTGTTTCCTTCACCATGGTCGTGAGAAGTACTGGCTCAGTGAGCTACCACTGGCAATATATTTATTTGACTTACAGGATGTCCAGTCCTTTTATAAGACTTAACTTTTTGCTGTAAATACACATAAACGGTGGCATACAATTACATATACAGAAGTTTATCAAAATCAAGTCAAAGAATATTAAAAAAATTTTTTTAAATGAATACTTTACATATTAGGTATGTTAATGTGCCTGAATCTCCTTAACTCTCTGTATATTTTACTTACCAGACATTGCCCGGGTTAGAAACATTCCTCCTTGTTTATTCAGCAATGACACATCTAGAGTTCCTCCACCTAAATCTATCACCAAGACATGGAAGACATCAGCCTTGTGGAGACCATAGGCCATAGCCGCTGCGGTGGGTTCATTTATCACCCTTAAGATCTTCAGTCCTGTATGATTGGTTGGAGGGAAGAGTGAACAACTCATGAGAGGACACAATTAAATTCCTTTCCGCTCAACCTCAGAACATGTTAATGTCTCCTATGACATGAACTCCACTGAGTAATAGTGAGAAAGAATAGTCAATATTCTTTCAACTCAATAAAAGTAATGAAATGAGAAGGATAAATATCAGTTCTTCTAAATGGGTATCATTAAAATTATTCTAAAAGATCGTAATATAAAGAAATAAAGGCCCAGATTCAGTGGAATACATCATTATATTCTTAATTAATAATTAAAAAAAATCTCTGCACCTCTGATTTTCATATTTTACTTGGGAATATATGAGCAATAAAACTTTAATCACTATATAACAAATTGCTGTGGAAATGAGATAAGCTTACTGTGCTTTTTTTAAAAAATGGCATTTTCATAAAAAGATGAATAAACAGAAAGGAAATAATAAAAAGAAAAATCTAGATAAGATGTTCAAATAGCTACAATGATACTCTTAAAAAGTACATTAAGACACAAGACCCTAAAATGCAAATCTGAAATATACAGCAAATCTGGTTTTCATTTGTTACATATGTGCAGGCAAAAGATCAGATTTCCTTGAGGAAAATTCATGCTTTAAACTAACTGCCACATATGAGTGGTCTGGAAAGTAATATGGCTTTCTGTAGCAGGAGCCATAAAAACTACTCAAACTCAGAATAATTTATGTAAAGATCATAACACCCTTCCCCTTAGTTCTCTGACTTCATAACTCATTGTGTTCTGGCCACACTGGCCAACCCCCTACACCTCCTCATGTAAGAGCAAATTCCCATTTTGTGGCTGCTACACTGGCCATTTTCTCTCCTGCAACTTAATTCCCCTATATATCACCTTAGCTATCTACCTCGCTTCTTTTAAATCTGCTTCAATGTCACTTTCGCAATGAGGCCTACCTGACCACTCTTTAAAACCTGCTAGAGTCCCTACTCTCTGACCACCCAGCAATCCTGTCCCCTTATCCTTTTTTTTTTCTTTCTCCATAGCATGTTACTTTCTGATATACATTGTATCAAGATTCTCAACCAGAGGCCATTTTGCCCCTCCAGGGATATTTGGCAATGTCTGGAGACATAAGATTGTCACCACTTAGATGGGGATAGTTCTGCTAGCATCTGGTGAGTAGAGGCTAGGAAGCTGCGAAATATCCTACAGTACACAGGACAGTCCCCTACAATAAAGAATTACCTGTCCCAAAACATCAATAATGCTAAAGGTGAGAAACTCCATGATACACTTATTTTTAATGCCGATTTTCTGTTTCCCCCTAGTAGGACAGAATATAAGTTCCACAGAACGGGGATTTATCTGTTTTGCTTACCGAGACACTCGGTATCTGCTGACTGGTGTTAAATGGGTTCTCCCCCACCTCAGATTTTAAAAAAAATTATATGCATCTTAATACTAAAAAAAGTTTAGAAGAAAACACTCATTACTCACATGTATCCATGTTCTCTCAGTGTTTGTCAAGTGCCTGACTGGATTTTGTTATAACAAATTTTACTTTGTATTAGAGCTTTCTTAATTGTTGTTTGTAAACATGTATCAAAATTCATCCCTACCATATAGTTTGTTTATGTGCCTAGTTAGGTGGTTTACAAAGTGATATACCTTACTACTGAAGATTGCAACCTAAGAAAATTTTTAGAAAAACGTAATTCAGGCAAGGGTAATATTACCTGCAAGGTTAGCAGCTTCAACTGTTGAATTTCTCTGTTTTAGATCAAATTCTGCTGGTACAGAAATAACAGCATTGACAACTGGCATTCCAAGATACTCCTCTGCCATTTCCTTTAATTTCAATAATAATCTAGAACCAACATATTCTGGGGAAACAGTGATGCTCTCATTACTTGTGACAGAAAACTCAACCATTCCATTTTTGTTTAAAACCTGTGGATAGGATTAAAAAAAAAAAAAGTGTAAAATTGTGTGTGCTTATCATATATACTTACACACATATATATACTGGACTTATTTAATCAAAACTTATCTTTACCTTTACAAACTCATAAAATTAAATTATAATCTATCAAGTATATTTATTAAGATTAAAGATTAAAAGTTATACTTTAAAATCTATAAAATGAATCCACACCATAGTTTTCAATAACAGAATAACATTCATCACCAAGCATAAAACTGCAACATAAAAGATTCTCGGGCCGGCCGAGTGGCGCGTTGGTTAAGAGCTGGCTTGGAACGCCAGAGGGCCCTGGTTCAGATCCCACATATGAGGGCCAGCGACACTGCCCTCCACAGCTAAGATGCTGAACAACAGCTCAACCTGGAGCTGGGCTGCCTGAGTCGCTGGCGACGGCGTAGGCTGCAG